ACAAAACACAATTATGCAAATGCATATTAGAGACTATGGAATGCTTTCATGTACTTTTTGATTGTTAATTCTGTCAAAGAATGCCAATGTAGGCAAAAATCCTTTCATAGTAAATTTTGCAACATAAAATCCAAGCAACAGAATTCCAATAACTTCTTGGGTTACTGGTATTTTACAAGTAATTTGTATCAGTACTTTTAGTTCTGTAGAGCAACAAGAAAATGAACAGACACTTGGATTAATCCACAGCAGCATTGTCTATGCCCTACAGCAAAGGCACACTATTTTCATAGATAAGGAATTGTACAAATCTGCTCCCAAATCTACATCACAAAGATCTTCTAGACTAGAAGATTGTTAAAGTATATGTATTGGATGGAGTCCTCAGATTTCTGTATATCTTAACTGTATTCTTACATGTTCTCAGGCATATATATATATATATATACCACCCCGTGGTGCTTTCAAATGACATAAAATATATTTTAATTGACTTTAGAGAAGAAAGGAGGGGGAGAGAGAGATAGAAACATTAATGATGAGAGAATCACTGATCAGCTGCCTCCTGCACACCTCACACTGGGGATCAAGCCTGCAACCTGATCAGGAATGAAACTGTGACCTCCTGGTTCATAGGTCGGTGCTCAACCACTGAGCCATGCCTGCTGGATGACTATTATATATGCTAGTTGTCTGTACTTTTCTTTCACAGCACTTACTATAGTAGTATTGCATAGCCCTTACTATGCAGCTAATACAGTAACTAATGTTTGCCGGACACACCCATCTGTTGAAAGCACCACGGGGCAGAACCAATTTCTGTTATTCTCCCACTGGATTTACATTCCTGGCACATGATCAGTATTTGTTAATGAAACAAGTGAAAGGAATAGAGGAAGGGAGGAAACACAAGAAGAAGAAGAGAAGAAGAAGAAGAAGAAGAAGAAGGAGGAGAGGAGGAGGAGGAGGAGGAGGAGGAGGAGGAGGAGAGAGGAGGAGGAGGAAGAGAAGAGAGAAGAAGAAGAGAAGAAGAAAGAAGAAGAAGAAAAGAAGAGAAGAAGAAGAAAAGAAGAAGAGAAGAGAAGAAGGAAGAAGCAGGAGGAAAGGAGAGGAGGAGGAGGAGGAGGAGGAGGAAGAGGAGGAGGAACCCATTCTGTTCCCTATGGTCATTATGAAGATCTTCCCCCCCACACACACAAGATGTAGCTTTAAATTCTAAGAAAATAGAAATTTTAAAAAGTGTTGCTTTTAACTTTGTCCACTTAGAGACTCAGACCCCTCCATACACAAGGCACGCTCTGATGAGATGCACTAGGCAACCTTGGAGGAAAAACCCTTATTTGAGATGCAGGATCATTTCCGAGTCTCTATGCTGTCTTCAATTCTTTCCAGTGTGAAATTAAAAAGTAGCCACCGAGATATCAGGCAGTCTACCAAGGAAATGTAATAAAAGGTGAAAACCCTGAAGTCAGATAGTGGATATTGGCCTTCCTACAGAACCAAGATTTTGGAAGGAAAGCGCAACTGTTCAAATGAAAAAGGAAAAATCTTCTAGGGCGCAGGTTTGAAAGCTTTGTTATTCTACACATTAAATCTAGTTGTGGTCCAGGACCAGCCGAGTAGCATTGGCTGGGAGCCAGTGAGAAAGGCAGAATCCCAGGTCCCACATAGGACCTGCTGAATCAGAATCTGCATTTCAACAAGACCCCTTCTTCAGCGGACTCATGTGGACATTCAAACTTCAGGTGCCTTGCATGAAAAAGCAAGCACCATGTACAAGCCTAAATAGCAGACAAACTAGAGAAAACATTGGCATTATTCATGACAAAGGATAGCTAGAGATAGTTCACATAAGCCAGCAAGATAATAAAGAACCTCTTAGAAAAACAGATAGGTGATTAAAAAAACAGCAACAAAAAAGAATGAACTTATAAACATATTTTCCATTAGGAATTTAAAAATTCAAATTCAAGTAATAAAATATTTGAAAATATTACCCACTCTTGTGGAAGATATTTCAGGGCAATAGGTACTCTCTTATATTGTTGGAGAACATATAAATTGATACTGATTCCTGGTGTAAAATTTGACATCATTAAATTCTTAAAATTATAGAAATCATTTGATCCAGAATTTCAATTATACCATATGTTGATAAGAATCAAACTGAGACTTAAATACAGTTATTGTAGCATTATTCACAATGTAGAAATTGGGGAGCACCTTAAATATTCAATAATTAAATAATCTATTTTAATGCATCCAGTAGATGCAATTATTATTCTGTTTTTATAAGTCATTCTGTAGAATAACATCAAATGAACACAGGAGAAATGTCCTTATATGTAAGCATCCAGGTATGTAAACCAACCAGATGGCTACACATCCAATTGTTAAGAGTGACCTATATTAAAGGAGAATGGGCCACTTTCTTTGTATGTTTCTATGTTTTCAAGTTTGCTGCAATGCAGCCATGTTATTTTTCTGAGTCAAAAATAGTAAACTGTACTAGTGGTACATTGGAGTCAGCTTAATACCAGCTCACAATAGCCAGCTGTTAAATTTTGAGAAATTTTGTGAGCCAGCTATTAAGCACAGCACTTCAAAAAATTAAATTACATAAACTTACCATTAAATAAAATACACCAAAACTAAGGCAATAGATACTTAAAACCCACCATTTCCTGATCATTTTACATAATGGTGTGCTGCTGTACATCTCTCCTCAACTTTGTACTCAGTGACATTATCATGGAGGCTTAAAATCAGCCTTAGTGAGAGCATTTACACCAGGGACATTGGTATACACTGCCAATCAGGGGGGAGCCCCCCCCCCCCCCCCCCCAGAGAGCTACTTGTTAAAAATTTGTCAGCACATCTTGAGAAAATAGAACGTGGCCCTTTTGAGGAGGTAGGGAAGGAGAGAAGAATCCTATCATGAGAGAATTAGGGAGAGGAACAAAATTAAATTGGTTTGATCCTTCCAGGATTGTTTCATATAAAAAGGTGCCCATGAATGTTCTCTCTCCCTGAGAGCATACCTACGCCTTTCCTCCCTCAGAGGCCTGCATCTTTTCTTCTCTCTCTTAAGCCCAGGAGACTTGCAACCAGGGGAGCAGAGGGCAGCGGCAGCTCACCCGACACTAACCCCTTGAACCTACCTCCAAGGCCTTCTTTTCTCTGAGATTTCAATGAGCCAAAGCAGCACAGCCTAGGCTCACTCCTAAGCCCTTCCTTGTTACACCGTCCCCAGCTTTAATAAACATACTCTCAAAATAAAAAATAAATTAAAAAAAGGTGATCAATCTGATGCTCAAACCTCAGAGGGAAGTGGGAGAGATCAACCAAAGGACATGTATGCATGCATATAAGCCTAAGTGATGGACACAGACAATAGTGGTTGAGCATGAGGGTGAGGGTGAGAGTGAGGGTGAGGGTGAGGGCACGACTGGAGGGATGAGGGGACAATTGGGGGATAAGGATTTCTTTATTAATAGTATAAAAATAAAATAACAAAATTTAAAAGAAATAAAACAGGAAGGTGGATATGGTGGTATCAGTTCTCACACCAATTAGATACTGCAATTCAAGCCAGCACCAGTTTGGCACCTGCTCATCTTCCTTCCTACAGCCTTGCTTTTATGCTACAATGCAGCTGAACTACTCGGAGACATCCCTGTCTGTAAAGTAGGGAAAAATGTAATGACCTTACTTAATTATCAGAGCTTTGCATGAAACAAGCTGCTCAACAAATGCTCTGAGAAATGGCTGTAGGTGATTTTGTTGTTGTGTGAACATTATAGCGTTCACTTACACAGTCTGGATGGGATAGCTTACTACACACCTAGGCTGTATGGTGTAGGCTATTGCTACCAGACTACAAGCCTGTATAGCATGCTACTGTACAAAAACAGAAGACTAAGTCAAGCACAAGGGAAAATGATGCAAACTAGGGGTGCAGGAAAATGAGATGTATGAGGCTACTGCCAGGATAACGCAGCATACTGTTTCAAAGTAAACTGTTTTATTTCCAAGTAGAAAGCGTACACTCTAAAATAATGATAAAAAGTATAGTACAGTAAATATGTAAAACAGTAACATAATCATTTTTGTGTTTTTTGCTTTTTTTAATCCTCCCCTAAGGATATTTTCCCCATTGATTCTTTAGAGAGAGTGGGAAGGAATGGCGAGAGGTAGAGAGAGAGAAACATCAATGTGAAGATATGAGAGACACATCCACTGGTTGCCTCCCGCATGCATCCTGATCAGGGTCAGCTAGACCAGGGCCAGGGGTCGAGACTGCAACCAGGAATGTGCCCTTGACTACATTCAAACCTAGGATGCTTCAGTCCATAGGCCAACACTCTATCCACTGAGCCTAACCGGCTAGGACACATAGTCATTTTTTTAACGTGTTATGTACTGTACGTAATTGTATATGTTACACCTTCAGGTGACTGGTAGCTTTTTGCTTCCAAGAGCATCATCACAAACACCTAAGCAGCGCATTGCACTACCACCTTACAACAGTGAGGACTAAGACGTCACTAGGCAATAGGAGCTTTTCAGGTCCATTATGATATAGTGAGACCACTGTCATATGGGTGGTCTGTCATTGACCAAAATGTCCTTATGTGGCACATGGCTCTAATTTATTTGAAGGAACTTTGAAAACCATGAAAATGTGGGACATGCTTATGATATTTATCTCATTAAAAGGCCCACAGATGTCTTTTAAAGTAAAATTAGAACCAAATGTGTTCATATTCATAACATATTAATATTGCATTAGTTTTGAAAACATTTTTAACCACCAAGAGGAATTATTCTAATTTAATCTCTTCTAAAAATATTATTTTAATAAAAAATGTTCACAAGTCCCCAAAAGCCCAAATTTTATCTCTCTGCTTAAAAGACCCCAATGTCATCAATGCCCCCCAACTGATTTTTTTGTGATGTAGTAGTTAGTGTACAAAAAAATACATATGTGTTCCAAGTACCTGAAACTACAGAAGAATCCGTAAAAGATAATTCCACTGAGTGGTTGTATATGTCCCAGGCATCTTTCTCTGGACTTGACTGATCTATGGCTAAAAGAGGTGGCTCTTTATCTTCAGGACCATCTTCTTGTGATAAATTCTCATTTTCTAGGAATAAAAGCATTAGAATGTAAAACATAGCACAATGCAAGTTTTTATGCCGTGTACATAAGACCATTACTTTTATTTTGAAAATGAAATGTGGGTTCCTAATAGAGATTAGCTTGAATATGCTTCAATACCTTGGAATTCTAATCAGAATGTAAATTGTATTGCAATGGCAAGCTTTTATACAATAGAAATGTTATTGTTACTCTTAAAACCAAGTGGGTGTTTCTCTTAGAGATCTGCCCAAATGTACTTCAGGACTTTCACATTTGAAAGGCTCGGGATATGTGTTTTATTTTGTTCTGACACAGTATTTTTATTATTAATATGGACATAATGAGTAATTCTTAGCAATGGTCAAATTTTGTCTAAAAAGACTACATAATATTATACTACTCACAGGAAAAGTGTGTGACGATTTCCTATCTGATCATCACCTTTAAGAAGTAAGCCACTTGTTCAGGGATGCAAAGCCACATTTAGGGCTGAATTAATGAAAATGCAAATGGGGTGGTGGTTTTCTTTAGCGCGTGCTCTTGCCATTTTGTTCCCTCGCTGTGTGCTTTACGGGAGATGTACATATGCTTTAATGTCAGCCTAAACGCATGTATTCTGAATTTCTGGAGATCTTTAAAAGTTCAATAAAATATTCTACATCCTTTCTTCTTTCATTTATTTCCAATGTCTGGCCTTGCTTCCTTCAGCCAACATAGATTGAGCATTTTCTCAATCTTGTTTTCAAATAAAAACAAGATTTTCTGTCCTTCTGAAGCTGCAATCTGTCAGAGAAGACTGAGCCCATAAAGAAAAAAAAATTAAGTATCATTTTGGATTAGGTCACCTTACAAAATAAGGGGCAAATGAGTCATGCGTATAAAGAATGTTCTGAAAAACTGTTCTGTCTTTGGACTTTGTCTTTGGCCAGACAGCTTGACAATGTATGCAGCTACATATTAAGTATGTTTGTAGTTTATAATCATAACAGTCAATTGTTTTAGGCTTACTATATAAGCACTTTGCATAGGTTAAATAATTTAATCCTCAAAATAACCCTAATAAATAAGTAACATTATTATCCCCATTTCACAGAGAAGTAAACTGAGGCACAGAGAGGGCAAGTAGCTGGCCAAAGTCACACATTCAGGGACATAAAGGAGCAAGAACTCAATAAGCATAAGGATTCAGAGCCTAGGCCACTATAACAAAATGTTATAGATTGAGTGGCTTGAGCAATGGAATTTCATTTTCTCACTGTTCTGGAGACTGGAAGTCCAAGATCAATGTGCTAGCAAAGTTGGTGTCTGGTGAGAGCTCTTGCTCTTTACATAGGTTACAAAAGGTCACTTTCTTACTATGCCATCACATGGGGGGGAGGGAGGGAAGCGACGGGGGTGGGAGAGAGAGAGAGAGAGATTTGGTTCATGGGTTATAGTTTTCCAATCCTGACCAATTTACTATACCAGATCACAGACATTTCTCTCTCTCTCTCTCTCTCTCTCTCTCTCTCTCTCTCTCTCTCTCTCTCTTTTTTACTGTCTACTAAAGAGCTTTTTTTTTTTATTGTTTAAAGTATTACAAATAGTAGTACATATGGCTCCTTTTCTCCCCATTCACCTCCTCTGGTCTCCCCAATCCCCGGGCACATGCCCTCACCCCTCTAGTGTCTGTGTCCATGGGTTATGCTTATATGCACGCATACAAGTCCTTTGGTTGATCACTTACCACTATTCCCCAACCCTCTCCTGCCTTCCTGATGAAGTTTGACAGTCTATTTGATGCTTCTTTGTCTCTGTAGCTATCTTTGTTCGTCAGTTTATGTTGTTCATTATATTCCACAGATGAGTGAGATCATGTGATATTTACCTTTCTCTGACTGGCTTATTTCACTTAATATAATGTTCTCCAATTCCATCCATGCTGTTGCAAATGGTAGGAATTCATATTTTTTATAGCAGTGTAGTATTCCATTGTGTATATGTACCACAGTTTTCTAACCTACTCATCTGCTGATATGCACTTAGGCTGTTTCCAAATGTTAGCTATTGTAAGTTGTGCTGCTATAAACATATATCCTATCTGATTGGTTTTTCTGTTTTTTAAATAAAGGACTTAAACGTAAGATGGGAAACAATAAAAATCCTAGAAGAAGCCACAGGCAACAAAATAGTAGACATTTTTACCGATACAGCTCCTAGGGCAATGAAAACTAAGGAGAAAATAAACAAATGGGACTACTTCAAAATAAAAAGCTTCTGCACAGCAAAAGAAACCATCAACAAAGCAACAAGACAGCCCACTGCATGAGAGAACATTTTTACGAATGTTATCTCTGATAAGGATTTAATCTCCAAAATTTATAAGGAACTCATACAACTTAACAAAAGGAAGATAAACAATCCAATAAAAAAAAAGAAAAGAAAAGAGCAAAGGACCTAAATAGATACTTTTCAAAAAAGGACATACAGAAGGCCAAGAGACATATGAAAACATGCTCAAAGTCACTAATCATCCGAGAGACGCAAATCAAAATGACAATGTAGTACCATCTCACACCTGTCAGAATGGCTATCATCAACAAATCAACAAACAGCAAGTGCTGGAGAGGATGAGGAGAAAAAGGAACCCCTGTGCACTGCTGGTGGGAATGCAGACTGGAGCAGCCACTGTGGAGAACAGTATGAAGTTTCCTCAAAAAAACTAAAAATGGAACTTCCATTTGACCCAGTAATCCCACTTCTAGACTCTTTCCATTTTTTTTTTTCAAATATGCTTCCATTGATTTTAGAGAGAGAAGGGAGAGGCAGAGAAAGAGAAACATTGATGTGAGAGAGAAACATCCATGGGCTGCCTCCTACCCACCCCATACTAGGGATCAAGCCTGAAACCTGGTCATGTGCCCCAATCTGGAATCAAACCAGCAACCCTTTGGTGCACAGAGACTGCTCAACTAACCGAGACATACCATCCAGGGCTGAAAAGAACTTTTTATACAGTTAAGCCTTGTTGTGGAAACAGAAGCAATGGCAGTAGAAACCCTGGATCCTGCTTGTAGACAGATCATGGAGTTACTTTTTGGATTTTGAAAGCTGGATTGACTAAGTTTGACTGAGCAAGCACCCTCCCCACCACTTATTCCTTCAATCATTCATAATAGAAGGATAGCTTCAAGATCTCTGGAGATTTTCATTTTGTGGTGGTCTTGAACATATGACACTGCAAAGCATTAGGGTGAAGATAAAAGAACTCTACCACAAATTTTTAGAGCTTTTTAATACCTCATAATAAAAATATTGTTATTTTCTTTTTCTCTGTCTCTCATTATATATGTAGATAAATAGATATAGATATATATACTTCTTTTTGTATATGTATATCTGTATGTATATTTCAAACCATTGGGCAGTATTAAGCTATTTACTTCATCCTATCTAATAAAGAAGGAATTTGCTAATTGACCCTCAAGCTGTTGCAAAGATGGCGGCGCCCACAGCCAATAAGGAGGGAATATGCTGACTGCCCTGCCCTCAAAGATGGCAACCCCCACAACCACAAGATGGCAGTGCCCAGTCCCCTCAGCCCCCTACCTACCCAGGGCCAGCCCAAGGTGCAGGCAAGCCTCAGATGATGGCTACCCAGCTGCCCAGGGCCGCCTGAGGCTCAGGTAACCAGGGCCGGCCAAGGTTTGTGCTGCTGGCAGTGGCAGCAGCAGAGGTGTGATGGGAGCATCACTTTCCCCTGATCACCAGGTCACCTCCAACACTTGAGGAATCCCAGACTGTGAGAGGGACTTGGCTGAGGGACCCCACTCCGGTGCATGAATTTTTGTTCACCGGGCCTCTAGTATAATATAAACATATAACATACTATTAATAATTTAGTAACTATACTTTCATTTTGCATAGATAACTTAGAAAATAGTTCACTGGGTATCTTATTCCATTAGAAAGTGTGGTATATGGGGGTAGGGAATTTGTGTGTTTCTTTGAAGTCATGTTCTAGCTCCTACCACAGTGTCTGGCTCATCCTTGGCACTCATGAAGTATTAGTTGAATGGCTGACTGAATGACTAAAAGAGTTGACATGAGCTTGAAGTGGTTCTAAGTCATTTATACCAATTAATTTTCAATTTGTCTTACATTTTTTTTTGAAAACAGAGGATATGAACTCTGAAAAAAATATGGCAGTTTAAGTGTTACAAATAATACATATGAAATGCTATCAAATGTTAACTTTTGTTATTGTAATTGGATAATTTTTAAAAACTCACATGAAGTGATATTGAAATATGTTAGATATTATAGGCCATTTATCAAGTATTTAATAAATTCCTTTAAAATGTATACAAATACCCAGGAGACTGTGCAGCAGAGTTGTAATACCATTACAGTTTCTTCCCATTTATGTGTATATGTTCAATGTTTAAAATGACTCGATAAAAACTTCAGGCAGCCGAAACGGGTTTGGCTCAGTGGATAGAGTGTCGGCCTGCAGACTGAAAGGACCCAGGTTTGATTCCTGTCAAGGGCATGTACCTTGGTTGTGGGCACATCCCCAGTGGGGGGTGTGCAGGAGGTAGCAGATGGATGTTTCTCTCTCATCGTTGTTTCTAACTCTCTATCCCTCTTTCTCACTCTCTGTAAAAACTCAATAAAATATATTAAAAAAAAAAAAAAACCTTCAGGCAATTGCCTCATTTCTAAAATAAGATAGATGGCTGGTGGAAAGAGTGTTTGTTGGACTGGGAGTCAGCTGCCAATACTATCAACCATTTTTACTGATTTTGTGGTTTCTGTAAGTTAACCTTTTCCTCATTCGTAAAGAGGATAGACGAGATGATCCCTCAAATCCCCTTCCATTTTGAAATTTTGATTCTAAGTTTCTTACTGTTCCGTCTTGTGTCTATGAGCTTCATTAAACTCTATCACCAGGCAAAACGTGCAAACCCTTCCCCCGGAGAGCGAAATGTACCTGCACTGCTGTCCGCGCCTGTTAGCTCCTGGGCTAGTGCTTCGTTCTCTGTCTCCCTTAGAACAGTCACAAACGCAGAAAACCAGTTTTCTTTCTGCACAATCCTTCTCAGCAGCTCTCTCACACCCGCCTCATTCCCATTCTTTTCTGCAGCGGAAACCTGTGATAAGAGAAAAGCAGAATTAAAAAAGATCACACATCCTCTGAAGGAATTTAAAAAGGAACTAGCCTTTAGAAAAATTGAGCAATTAAGCACAAGAATAAATAAAGACTTATTTCAAACGCTAAACCAGCAGGGCCACTTGCAGCAGGAGATATTTTACGCAGTCGTTCTGAATAAGGGGTTCAAAAGAAAGGGCCTTTCATGTCTAGCCATTTTACGTCTGTTTGCATCAATCTCTGTCTGTATTCCTAGGACCTGATTTTTCCTTTTAACTCTCAGAGTCTGCAAATGGAAAATAAATCATGGTATTTATTTCATATCATGAGAACATTTTATTTCTATATAGATTCCTTTTTCTAAGTAAGGATCAGAATTATTTCTACATCTATTTGTTACAAACCTTACCTTTCATTAAATTTCCATTTCAGATTAATCTAAGCAAATCTTTCTACATGTGGGTCATTTATGAAATGATTATCATAGTGCATCTCCCCAATTAGTAATATAACACCAAACATTTGGAGAAAAGAGTGATACAAGCCACATTTAAACCAGAAAAGCAATCAGACCCGACATCATCAGCTTCTGTGCCATTAGGCAGGCTACTCTATCTCTCTGGGCCTCAGTTTCTACATGTGCCAGCTAAAGCAACTGAAAAGAAATGTCAGGCCCTAACTGGTTTGGCTCAGTGGATAGAGTGCCAGCCTACAGACTGAAGCATTTCCGATTCAATTCTGGTCAAGCGCATGTACCTTGGTTGCAGGCACATCCCCAGTAGGAGTTGTGTTGGAGCCAGCTGATGGATGTTTCTCTCTCATCGATGTTTCTAAATCTCTATCCCTCTCCCTTCCTCTTTGTAAAAAAAAAATCAATAAAATATATTAAAAAAAAAAAAGAAGAAGAAATGTCAGGCATTTTCCATCCTTGCTGCACTAGAATCACCTGGGGAGCTTGGAATTACCTGATGTCTGGGATCTACTCCCCAAAAGTCTGATTTATTTTTGTCTATTCTGGGAAACTAGAAAAAAATATTAATCCTCACCTGAGGATATTTTTTCATTGCTTTTTAGAGAGAATGAAATAGAGAGGGAAAGACAGAAAGAAATATCAATGTGAGAGAAACACTCCATTGGTTGCCTCCTACACATGCCCTGACCAGGGTCAGGGCTGAAGAGGAGCCTGCATGCCTTTTACCAGAATCAAATTTGGGACCTTTCAGTCCGCATTGGAACCCAGGCCCCTTCAATCCTCAGGCCAGGACTCTATCCACTCAACCAAACTGATTAAGGCTAGGAAATTTTTTAAAAAGCTGATTTGGCTCTGTGGGTAGAGCGTTGACCTGCATCCTGAAGGTTCCTAGGTTTGATTCCGGTCAAGGGCACATGCTTGAGTTGCGGGCTCAACCCCCAGTGTGGGGTGTGCAGGAGGCAGCCGATCAATGATTCTCTCTCATCATTGATGTTTCTCTCCATTTCCCTTCCTCTCTGAAATCAATAAACATATATTTTTTTAAAAAGCACTTAGTAATTCTAATCAGCATCTTAGATAAGAAATACTGACCTAGTTACTCTCAAAGGTCCTTTTCAACATTTGCTCGTCTTCTGCTAGTACATGTGTAATTTGGATTGTTTAGCTAGATTAGGTTTTCTACAAGATTTATGTATTTCCTAGTCCCTATAAATATATGAATAAACTTTTAAAGTCAGGGATTTGTACTCTTGGAACAATGTCTGGCACAGATTCAGCTATTGTTATGGATGACCAGGAAAAATAACTGTACCTACCTTTACAAACATTTCACCAGTGAACACTACTTAGTACAGAATAGTTTCTGAGGATATTTTAGTCTTATTAGCTAATAGTTAATTATATATATATATATATATATATATATATATATATATATGTGTGTGTGTGTGTGTGTGTGTGTGTGTGTGTGTGTAAAAGTCTAACATGCTAAGTGTCTGACCAATCGGTTGACTGGCTGGTGGACCACTTGACCACTCACTATGATATGATGCATACTGACCACCAGGGTGCAGATGCTTTGACTGGTAGATTAGCTTGCTGCTGGGGTCCTGCTGATTGGCACTGGGCGAGATGGGCAGGACATGCCCTAGAGCCCTCCCGAGGTTCCTCCCTGGCTTGCCATTCTCCATCAGCACCAGGACTGGGTGAGATGCCTCAATCACCAACATCTGTGCACAAATTCCTGCACTGGACCTCTTATAAAGGCTTTGTATATATTAACCTAGCAACCCTAAAGAATGTAACAATATGAACCCATTTTACAGATTAAAAAAAAGTTCAAGGTGCAGAGAAGTCCAGTTACCTCCCCAGGGACACACAGCTAAGTAAATGGTAGAGGTAGAAGTGGATCCAAGCAATTGACTTCAATGCTATCTTCCTGTACTATAATTATAGGCAATAGTTGTCTCTAATTTTAAATTCATTTCCTGGCAAGAAGGTTTAAAATGCCTACTTTAATTTCATAAATTGTATGTGATTTCAATTCATCTCTCCCACAGCATTTACTAAGCAGATTATTGCTTATTTCTTACCTTTTTCTCTAACTTCATTCATCTCCTACTAAAAAGTCTTTGTCTTTGATGGTGTTTGTAATCTCCTTATTATTATCAAGTAATTTAATCACAAAGAATTTCTCTAAAAACTAGTCAGACACTGTAATAAATACTTTGATTAAAAATCTAAGCATTTTATATCCACTAAATTTTCTTTAACTCTTAATGAGTTTTATTGTACAATAAAATTATATTTATCAAACTTGCTTTGCGCTTACTGAGTTCAGGCATTTAAGGATCCTTATGCCATTATTTCCTATATGTATTTTTATTATTTGAATGTAGAGGTACATATAATACCTGTACAATTTTGTCAGCTTCATCAAGATTCTGAGTTTTTAAGGAATATCCTCCTTTGGAGTGCTAGAAAAAAACATCAATACCCTTTGAAGCAACCACCCATTCCTTTTAACTGATTCTGTTCTCCTAAAACACAGTAAAGATATTAGATTCAAACATATGATTGCTGAAATTCTTGGGAGGTAAATATTTAGCTTTGAAGCTGCAAGGGGATTCCATTCTCCATACACTAGTCCCCTCTACCCATATATCACAGCTTGTGAAAATGGTCCAAGGTTTAACTTTGTGTCCCATGATTACCCAAAGAAACTTATGTAATTGATTTACTTATTCATCAATTTAGTTTGAATTTATAGATTGGCAGAAAAGTAGTGAAAAGTTTGGAGACTAATAAAGTTCAGGGAGCTTATGTTGCAGTGTTGATAAGTGTTCATTCTTCCAACAAATAGAGAAAAAGTGTCTAGCTTATACTAAATACTGCTGTGAATATTGGTGACTAAGCAATAAGTACAAGAGTCTCTTTATGGATCATTATAATAGAACTAGAGGCCCAGTGTACAAAATGTGTGCACAGAAAAGGGAGTCCCTCAACCTGGCCTGCACCCTCTCCAATCTTGGATCTTTTGGGGGATGTCCAACTTCCTCTCGCAATCCTAGACCACTGGTTCCTAATCTAAGGTGACCAGACATCCCAGTTTTGGTGGAACAGTCCCAATTTTTAACAATTTGTCTTGCGTCTTGCGGAATTTTATAAAAGTCCAAAAGATTTAAAAGATTCTTTCCAAAAATCGGACTTTTTTAAAACGCCGCAGGACACAGGACAAATTGTTAAAAATCGGGACTGTCCCACCAAAAGTGGGACGTTTGGTCACCTTATCTTAATCGCTCGCCTGCCTGCCTGCCTGATTGCCCCAATCCCTCTGCCTACCTGCCTGATCGCCCCTAACCACATCTGCCTCATCCCACACCTGGGACCCAGTATTCCCTCCTCTAACTGGTCACAGACACTGGGTACCTGGGCTTCCTTTCTGTTGGCTGGCCACTGGCACCCAGGACCTGGGCCAGCTTTGCCCTGCAGGCCGCAGCCACAGGTGCTCAGGACTGCAGGGTGTGTGGCTTGTCCCTTTCCCAAGCTGGTCCACAGACGTAAGTGTAACTGCTAGTGCCTGGGACCTCAAGGTGGGCAGCTTGTTCCTCTCCCAGGCGTCAACCTGGCTGGTCCCCATTCCTCTCTCACAAGCACATTTGTGCCTGGCTGGTCCACATTCCTCTCTCCCTGTGTTGAGTGTCTGAGCTATTACAGTGTGAAGGTGTGAGGGTGTGACAACCATTTGCATGTTAACTCTATTATATAGGATGATAGCTAACTGTAGGGAATTCCCCTGTACTGATATGCTTCTGTTTTAGGATGCTTATTGGACATTTTGGCCCATTCATTGACTAAGACAGCAATGAACTCTGGAAAAGAAGGGATCACATAAACTTTTCCTTAATGTCTTAATATCAGTCTGAAGAGAGGTAACTAAAAGGCCAAGTAAAATATGCCTACTGGAAAACAGAAAAAGAAATAAAAGAAAATATGATTTTTAAAGTTTTAACAACTACTTAGTTGAATGCTACTTTATGCTGTTCAAAAATCAAATTTTGAATTCTTATGTTTATTATCCATCTATTCCCCAATGCCCGATATGGTTCATCATATCATATGTTTGTATCACTCATTCAAGACAACTCTTTGGAAATAAATGATCAATCACTTAAATATTAATCTATCACTATTTATTAAGTACCGACCCTATACCTCATCTTGTCTAGGTTCTGGGAGCTTAAATATCAAAGTTATAGTTTCTTCTTCAAATCACAGTTTAATCCAGGGACTTTAAGAATCAGATCTCAATTTCAACATGGGAGATTTACCTAAATTCTCTAATTTCTCTAAATTCACAAGGAAACATAATCAAATGAATGATAAAAAAGTCATCATCATCATCATCAGATTTTTACTATTTATACAACTTTTTCATAAACATGATTTTGGGTTCACTAATATAATGAGTTAGAGGAGAAATTATTACTATATTAATTCTCATGGGTAATCTTAGGATCAGGGAACTTAAAATTCCAAATTCCCATGCTTTTCTCATTGCACTTTGCCATTCTATGTAATAAAAGCCTAATATGCAAATTGACCAAACAATGGAACGACCAGTGGAACAACTGTTCACCCTGACACGCACTGACCACCAGACAGCAGATGCTCAATGCAGGAGCTACCCCCAGCCCTCAGGCCACAGGCCAGCCAAGGTGGGTACCAGCCAGGGCCCCTTGATCACCCAGCTGGTCACCCCACGAATTGACCCTTATTGTGGACCAGGCCTAGGGACCTTACCCATACATGAATTTTGTGCATCAGGCCTCTGGTTTAAGATAAGCATTCATTAATGACCTTGATGCCAATAGATTCTTCTAAACCGAGAGTGCCCTTCCCATCATCCACCATAGCTTATTTTTTATTCTGATGATACAATTGAAATTATGTTTACAAAAAAAATTCCAGAATCTCACAGAGACAGTATTTCTCCTTAGAGAGCGTCGGATGCATAGCTCCTTTGTCTTTCTGGGCCTCCTTTGAATTATGAACCTGGGGGAAGAGTTTGGATTGCTTTGGCCTTAACCGTTATCAGTACACAAATGTCCTCTTACTCTATATTTTCTTTGTGTCAACTCCCTTGCATTACTGCTAGCTGCCTCCAAGCTTGCCAGAATCAAGAACTTGGATAGAATCTAGCTGGAGGAAATTCAACCCAGGCAAGACAAAAGTGACGCTGATAGGCAGAAGTATTTAGAGTAAATAAGGAGAAGTGCTGTCTCGCTGGCAATCCGGACGCCATCCCCACCAAACACAAACAGCTTTGTGGTGTTACTGGACTCTGTTGCTTCTGGACTTCCTAACAGCTACTGTGGCTGGAAATGCCATCTTCCATCTCCAGCTGGCTGGAAGGCTGCATACTGTCTTCCAAATTAAGATTCTGCCACAGTGATGTACACATTTGTCACATCCAGCTGGACTACGATAATGCGTTCTAGCTGGTTCTCAATACACAACACTACGTAAACGCTACAGACAACAGTGTAAAGTAATTTGCTTGTTGGGAAAACCAGCCATCAAAATGAGACGCGTGCTTAGGTCTTTGGACAGGCCGCATGGCTGTCAAGTCTGCAGAGGAGTATTAACTTCAAAGACTAAGTCACATCAGAGGCTGATATGAGTCCAAGGCCCAAAACTTTGTAATGAGGATAGAAACAAGTAATAAATCAAAGAGAAAGAGTGAATGAAAGAAAATGTCAAATTCATAGCATTGTAGACGAAGCTTTTGATTTTTAGTCTGCCATTTCGCTGCTTGCTTTTCAAAATAAGACTTTGACCTATGATTGACCCTGAATGTCTGATTTAAATGGGTCATCATTTCTACACTTCCTGTAGAACATTCTTACTCGCTGAAATAACAATGAGCAATAGAACATTACATTAAGTGTAAAGTCACTTGAGAAATTCACCTGTCAAAATACCTAGAAAACTCACTACTCCTTCAGTAATATGAAAAATTACAACTAGAAACATATTTTCTCAATAAATTATCTCTAATTATGATTCTCAGAGAATGTTGAAACTTCAGAAAGAAAAAAAAAAAAAACATGTGTATTATATGTAATTTCCCTATTTGGAACAGGACTAATTGGCATAATGTGTAATATTAGCCAGAGATTGGCAAATATTTTCTCTAAAGGCCAGATAATAAATATGTAGGCTATGTGGGCTATATGGTCTCTGTCCAAATGCTCTTGAACTGCAAAAGCAGTCATAATATATAAATAGATGAGCATGACTGTGTTCTAATAAAGCTTTATAAACACTGAGCACTTACCAGTATAAATCTAAAAATCATTCTTAGGTTTGGGTCTTGGCAAAACAAAACAAAACAAAACAAAACAAAACACAGTAGCAGTCTGGATTTAGCCCATGGGTCATATTTTCTGATCTCTGTTGTATGGAAGTACATTAAATAAGACATAAAATTCCACACCGTCAGGCCCTAAATCACTAGCTCTGCCACAATCTTCCTAAAAAAACTTGGGCAAGTTATTTAACCTGCCTCAGTTTTCCCATCTGTAAAACAGAGTAAATAACATTATACACCTCAGTGGATTATTCTGAACATGAATTCTGATAATACATTTTTGAAAAATAGACTAACTGCACATAGCAAGTGTTCATTACATATTCTCTATTAGCACACATTGTTTTTCTAGAATTAACTCTGTAGCTACTTTTAACGCAAGGATTAGAAGAAGAAAAAAAGCCTTTTAATGTGTTTAGATGTTTAAAGTTATGTTTTATGTGACTAGATCGTCTCTTCCAGAGGAAGGAGGGATCCAGATTCACCCAGAGATGTCCAGGAACGTTTGGAATGGGGCAAATCAATGGACCTGCCACAGGTTGCAGAATCTGCCTCACAGGCCAGCCCCACCTGAACCGACACCTACCCGGCTTCTGTCTTCAACCGTCAGCAGCTCCACTGCCACACACCTGTCCAGGACATCCCTGACCAGGAGCTTCTCCACCAGGGTGGGCTGGAGGAGGCTCAGCAGTTGGAAACACTCGTCGTTGGCGTTCTCGCTGGACGGAGAGGGCAGGTCGGTGAGCTCGGGGTCCATGTAGCGGGCGGCCAGCGGGTTGCCTGCCCTGCGGAGGGCCTCCACGAACACGCGGGTCCAGCCCGGGGGCCAGCCCCCCTTCTCCAAGGTGCTCAGGAGCAGCTCCGCGGCGCCGATGTTCCCGTGGGTGGTGGCCTTGGCCTGGATCTGCTCCTTCAGCTCCGCGGGCAGGAAGGTCAGGTAGTCCAGCACAGGCTCCACCTGGATGTACATCCTCACCCTGGCCCGGAAGCACGCGAGGAGGTAATGGAAGTTCTTGTCTGCAGAATGCCCGTTCGTCGTCATCCTTCCTTCTCAGAGGAGGGAGAGAGAGGTTCTCCCAGGTAGACGGGTTGCTCTTCTCTGCTCAACAGGTGCTGTGCGCCCCGCGCCTCGGAGCAGCAGGCTGTGCAGCAGGTGCCTGGCAGCGACCGGGCTGCCGCAGAGCCCCCGATGGTCCCGCGGGGAGGGCGCCCCTGGCAGGAGGGCAGGTGGGCAGGAGGGCAGGTGGCAGAGGGGGTGGGAACCCAGCTGCAGATTCACTGAGCGGAGCGGCCTCTTGGCCTCTGCAGTGCTCGCCGCGGGCCCAACCAGCCAGCTCCCCTGCGCATTCCAGTGGGAGCTTTAAACCCAGTTTCTCATCTGGTTTCTGTTTCGATTCCCCGCTCCGTCAGTTTCCAAACGTCAAGGCGCCGGGCGGGGAGTGGCTGCCGGGTCCGGGAGGGACACCCTTTGGCCGGATCTGGGACACCCTTTGGCCAGCCCAGCGCTTTGGCCCGGGCGCAGGAAAGGAAAGCGAACTCCCCCCGGGGTGAGGCAAGCGCGCCCAGCAATGCCCTCCCTGCTGGGATCCCGTCTCCCCTGCAGGATTCCGCCTCGTCCATCAGACTTCCCCTCAGCCCTCTGCACCACCCCCTGTCAGCTGTGAAAGCTCCTGACTCGGGACTTTCCAGCCTGTCTGAAGGTGAAGAGAAACTGGTGCCATCAGGAAGGAGTCCGCGTTGGTGGGGGAGTGCAGGCAGGTTCTGCCCCGCCAGCCAGCGTGGTGAGACCGCCAGGGGCAGGTGGAGAGAGGAAGTTTCCAGAGAGGTGTAACCCCAGAACCCCAAGATGAAGGGATGTCTGCACCCTTTCTGGATATGAACCCCATGTCCTGCGGGTCCCCGAGAAGGAAAGTTGTCCTCTGGGAATTTCTGAGTGGGTACAAAAAAGAGTGAGTCACGATAAAGGTAAACTTTAGTCCCTCGTTTGTAGATTGCAGTATTTATTTTCTGCTTTGACCAGGGCCTGGGGATAGACAGAGAGGGACTTTAACCACCAACTCAATCTAGGAGGGAGCCAAGATTGAAGGTTTCCTATTCCAGCAGGGACATTCCCACCATTTTCTTTAATATACAACTTTCCTTTAATAAAACAAAACAAAATCCCCAGCAACTTATTTTTGACATAGCTGCCATTCTTTTCTTGGACTCAATACAGCAAGTTTTGGCTGAGGCAGCTAGGAACTTAATTAGCAACTAATGTACCAACTTGTAGTAAACATCAACATTTGTCTATGTCATGACGGGGAGAGGAAAAAAAAAGACACCCACACTGAAAAATGGCAGCTTCATTTTAGTGCGGAAGCCATATAAACATGAGCCCTTGGGGTTGCGGCTCAGGCATTCTGCCACCCCTGGTGACTGCAGGTGGCAGTATATATGCTTCCTAAGGAGAATCCCATGGTTAAGAATTATGCGGAGGTTGGAGGAGGGGTCATTTAAGCTATGAAAAAGATGTATTTAGGAAAAATAATTTGTTAGCAAGCTCATTCAGTGACGCTTGTCTAGGCCATGCTTTCGCCTGTATAAAGGAAATACAGTAGGGTGAAAAGGGTACCCCTGTGCACTGTTGGTGGGAATGCAAACTACTGCAGCTACAGTGGAAAACAGTATGGAGTTTCCTCAAAAAATTAAAAACGGAACTGTCTTTTGACTCAGTGATCTCACTTCTGGGACTATAGCCTAAGAATATGGAAACTCCAATCAGAAAAAAAAAAAAAAAAAAAAAAATATATATATATATATATATATATATATATATATATATATATGTGTGTGTGTGTGTGTGTGTGTGTGTGTGTGTGTGTTTATACAGCTTTATTTACAATAACCAAGATCTAGAAACAGCCCAAGTGCCCATCGACAGATGAGTGGATAAAAAAGCCACGGTGCATCTATACCATGGAATACTACTCGGCTATAAAAGAACTCTTATCCTCTGAGACAGCATGGATGGACCTGGAGAATAGTAGGCTCAGTGAAAGAAATCAGAGAAAGACAAATATCATATGATCTCACTAATATGTGGAATCTAAAGAACAAAATAAATCGATGAACAAAATGGAATTGGAAGCAAGGAAACATGGAACAGACTGGCCAGTGCTTGAAGTGGGGAGGGGTGTGTGTGACTGGATAAAGAAGGTGAATGGATTACCAAAAGAACATATATGCATACCCCACGGACAGGAACAATAGTTTGGTGAAGGCCAAGGAAGGTGGAGAGTAGTGGTAGACAAATGGAGAGAAAAGGTGGACACTTGCAATTATGTCATTTTTATTTATTGATTTTCAGAGAAAGAGAGAGAGAGAGAGAGAGAGAGAGAGAGAGAGAGAGAGAGAGTTATGCATTCATTGGTTGATTCACATATGTGCCCAGACCAAGCAACCTATCACCACCTTGGGGTATGGGTATGACACTCTAACCAACTGAGCTACCTAACCAGGGTGAAATCTATCACAACTTTATTTTTTATCTTTAGGTGTTGTTGTTTTTTTTAACTAACTTTTTAAAGAAAGAGGAAGGGAGAGGGAGAGAGAGAGAGAGAAAAAGATTTATGTGTGAGAGAGAGTAATAAGGTGCCTCCTGCAAGCCTCCCTCGTTCCCTTCCTGGGCAAGTGTCCAGATCAGGAATCGATCTGATAACTTTTCAGTGCACAGGACAACACTCAACCAACTGAGCCACACCAGCCAGGGCTCTACCATAATCTTCATTGCACCTCTTCTGGAGGAAGAATGTTGAAGAGACAAAAGCCAAACCACAACATCTCGAATGTATCTTTTCTCTTTACCTATATTTTTGCATCGTGATTTACTTTATTTTTGGCCTTTTGTTCGAATACTTGTTAGTTTCTTCTAACAGCTATCATTTTCATCTTTCCTTTTGTTTTCTAAATGTAAGTTTCTGTTTCCTTTCTCCTTTGAGGTGGAAAATCCTGCTGATCTCTTTTTCTTTTTCCTAGACTCAAAAGACACACTTCAGTCTCCATCAGTTTAAAAAGCCCCCCTGTAGCATTTTGTTCTTTAAGTAATATGCCAGGAATATACTAGATTACTACTGTTGTCCAACTTTTCATTTGAGGTTTCTACAATTAAAAAATAGTAAACATCATAGCTGCACTTTTTTTTTGACAAGCCAGAGATACAACTTAATGGCCATACATAGCAGGAATGCATTTTCCAAAGAAAATGACAACAAATTCAATTTAATAAGGGAATCTTTTAAAGAATTATTATTATTTTCCTTCATTAGCTTACTAATTGTATCAGTGAAGAGCCTATTCTAATTTCAAGTTAGCCTAGCAATATAGATTTATGGTGAAGCATAAAGACTCTGAACTCAGGAAGCCAGAATTCACATCTCAGCACTGTCTATAATTGCTGAGTGATCTTGAGAAAATCACCTCAAATTTCTCAGTTGTAAAATGAGAATGATACTAGTACCCCGTCATACGGTTGTTAAAAGGATGGATTGTAAGTACTTAACATCAAGCCAGGAATATTATATTTGCTCTGTAAGTGACTGTCAGCATTCTTACACAAACAATGGATAAGAGATAGTACTATCCCCCAAAGAATATACACTTTAACAACTAGCCATGTAATTAAATTTCTAGACAGTATCCCTTTTTGAAAAAAACAGAAGTTGATATGCTGATTTAGCAGAAAAGTTTATCAAAAGATACTGCCCTAGCTTTATGTCTCAAAAACAAAAGTAGGCCCAAAACAGAAAGAGAAATTTTGACAATGTTTACCAGACCGTGATACACATTTAATTGCTTTCTCCAACTCAGTAATAAAGTCTGGTTTTAAAAGCTTTTCTATATGACAAAGTGTGTCACCCCCACCTCCACCCCTACCCCACAAAAAATCAGGAATCAGTAGAAATTTTTTCCAAATGCTTCCTCCATAAGTTGTCTTTTCAAAAACATTTATTTGCACTTGTGTGTGTGTGTGTGTGTGTGTGTGTGAAAAGTATCTTTACCTCAAAGGCACTGCCTGGCCTCAAAGGTACTTCCTTTACTTGATTTAAAATAAGGGCTTAAGAGCAAACTATAGTAAAGTGTAATTAGAGTGCCATTGTCTTTTCCTTGAAACCCAGGTTGACATTGAGCTGGTAGACAATTTGGAGTGAGCTCTCTCAGCCCGCAACCATTGGAATTGAGGGGGTGCCTGTTCTACTTCTTAGTACCCACCCTATAGAATTAATTAAATACTCTTAAATATTTAATTATCTTAATTAAATATTGAATTTAACCTCTGAAATGTTATAACTGGCAAGGTTTTGAAGTAGGAGTAGGAGTGCTGTGGAATGAGTTATTGGAATCAAATATTGGGGTAAATCAAACCAAACGTTTGAATTGCTAAATCACAAAGGCTGGAACTAAAATTAAAAAAACAACAACAAAGCACTATCAATTATAATATTTTTATGATTAATACACTCAATCATATCAATTACATTTAAAAATCTTTCATCTTCATCTGATTCCTTAGTTTTTAATGTTTATTTGTATTTTATGTTGTTATTATAGTTGTACATGCAAAGATTTTCTAAATAAAGAGGCAAATATTTACTAAGGTTCATGTTCAAAGATTTTTACTGATAGGGATCAAGAACAAAGAACTTGAAGATCACACTGTAGAGAACCTCAAAAAGGCTGGAGATTGTGATGAGTTTAAAGAGTAAGGTTATGAAGGCTGGAGGAGGAAGATATGTAGGTGGAATTTCAAGTTAGCCTAGCCATATAGATTTGTGATGAAACATAGAGACTCTGAGCTCAGAATTCTGGAAAGGGATGGGTAATTCAGCACTTAGATCTTGGAAGTACTAGAGCATGCCAAGACTCTGGTGATATTATTGCTTTATGACAAATGACAGTAAGTCAACACATGGAACCTGAATATATTTTATTTCCTATTGTCAAGACATGGTGTCCAGACATGTTCTTGAATTGAATATTTTAAATTCTTTATTTAAAAAATAGTTTATCCTGTAGACATTTCAGGCAGGATATCAAATAATATTGGAGATTTATGAATTACTAATAATTTCATTATCCAGAGATGGGCATTTATAATATTTTAAGTGTATTTCCCACCTTATTATGTGTGTGCATGCATGCATACCCTCCGCATTTATTCAACAGAGAGTAAACTGAGATAGTCTCAACTGTGGAGAAGAGATCTCGAAGGAAGAGTTCTCTGTAGGAGGATGGTGTTAACAGGCCAAGAGGAGGAAGAACCTGTGAGAGCTTCCTGTGCAGGGATGGCCAGGATATTTGGGCAGCAATTCCTAACATTAAATAACAAGTTTATTCCTGTAGTGCACTTGTACTGACCTTCCTCAGTTCCAGATCTCTCATAAGAGTCTGCTAATATAAGAGACTTGT